TCAAGAGATATTTGAGGTGATTGATTAAAATGGGACACCCTGTATATGTTATCCCTGGTAAAAATTGTTCTCATAATTTTTCATACAATTTCTCATCTTATTATTTTTTTAAATGTCATTATGTCATTAAATCTGAACGATTTAACCGTCATGCAATAAATACAGAAGGCAGCAGCACCGAACAAAATATTAGTTTCGCCATATAAGTAAGATTTTTTGTGATGGTTTATTTGAAAATATATCATGCTTCGATTTTGATAAAATTTAATAATCTGAACTGGAAGATCGACCAAATTAACTCGCATATGTAAAAACACAGTATTTTATTAGCACGATGGAAAAATATCATTATCTGTTGTTTTATTTCAGTGATTTTCTATACAGTCCCTGGTAGAAAATTAATTTTAAATTATCGTGCCGGTCTCTTACATTATTTATACGTTAAACGTTTCGTCTATATTTTGCGATTTAAAAGGGGAACAAACTCTAAGATTTTTCTTTAAACCTTAAGTGGGCAATACAAAGCACTTTTTATCAAGTAAGGAATTGGCGTAATGTCTAAGGCGACGGATAATTATCCAAAAGATGTTTCGATTCAAGTTCGAATCTTACCAGAGAAAATCTTAAAAATTATGAAAAAATAATATAGAAAAACTTTTTTTTTCATTGCATTTTACGAGTATTTATGAGAAAGCTCTCATTCTATAAGTAATTATGAAAAATTATGAGAAAATTTTTTACCAAAGATTTAATTGTTGAAGAATCTACGAAACGACAGGATCTGCGCACAATCTGCCGTCAGAGTCTGTCGGCAGGCTCTGCGCGCAATCTGCCGCCAATCTGTTGATAGATTCTGTTAGCAGGATCTGTCGACAAAATTGCAGCACATTGCGGACACAGATGATTATGGATCTGTCGACAAATCCTGCTCGAATCTGTCGCCAATCTGCCGTCAGTCTGCGCACAGATTGTTTACTGGGTATGAAAATATAATTAAATAAATTATCTTTCTTTAAAATCGATTATCTAAAAAAATTTAGATTTAATAAAAAAATGTTTTGAATAAAAAATATTTGTTTTTATTTATTTTCACATAAAACAATGAAAATAGGGATTTTAGTTTAATAAAAATATAGTTAATCTTTATTTGACTTATAGTAGCGCTACTTATAATTGATAGTACTATCTTATATCCCCTTTAATACCAAACAAATTTCATCTATAACATTTTTCCATATGATGTATATTTCATGAGAAATTTGTTATTAACATTATAAATAATTCACCTTGTACATATTAAATATAAATGTTCTTTTAATTCCAGCAAGATATTATACAGATTAAATTAAATTGAATTGATGTCAAATTGATATCGAAAATCGATAAACTATAATACAACAATTAAATTAAACTATGAATTTAACTATGAATTAACTATGAATTTATTAATAGAAGAAACTGTTATCTTACATCGATAATAAAATATACAGATGCATTCCATTATATAGGTCAGGGCTCGGAACAGTTTGCCAATTTCGACCGATTCTCGGGAGCTACACTTTCTATCTCCCTTTTGCCGCACGGCGGGCCACGCAAGTGACGGTCGCGGCCAGTTGCGGCTCCAAGTTTAGAGGCACGACCGTCACTTGCGTGGCCCGCTGGCAAGGGGTAGATAGAAGGCGTAGCTCTCGAGAATCGGCCGAAATTGACAAACTGTTCCGAGCCCTGATATAGATAACACATCGAAAAGTCATCGAGATACGAAAAATTACACAGGCCTGCAAATTTCAGTCCCAAGAAACAGAATATGTAATTCCGAAGGCTTTTAACATGCTGAAGCCGAATCCGTCATCCAAATTTTTCTATCATATCATAATTTGGAGATGTCCTAACTTAAAAGTGTGTAACGATTCGAACAACGATCGTTATGGAAAAAATGGTACAAGAACAAAACCGAGACACCGAAGAGCATCGCACGACAAGAAACCCGGCAAAAACGCGCGAGTAAATAAGCCGCCGAACATCCGCGGTAGATAGCGAATCAAGCGTGATTCGCAAATATAAAGCGTCGCGAATTCTAGATCAAGATCAGATTCCGATCATCCGAGAGGTCCGAATACGATACGAACCTCCGATACCGAGAAAGATTACTGCACCATCTTCTCGAACATCGATTCCTGGTGGATTTCTGTTCGTGAATACGCGACAGGAGTCACTCCGCCGTCGACTCACAGATACGTGACGTCGACCTTGTTCCAACTATCATTCCTGGCAGATTGCTATTCGTGGATATGCAACAGGAATCACTTCGCCGTCGGTTCACGCATACGTGACACCGACACTGTTTAACCAGATCGCTTCTGGCAGATTTCCGTTCGCGGATACGCGACAGGAGTCACTCCGCCGTCGGTTCACGAATACGTGATACCGACACTGTTCCGAATACTGTTCCTGGTGGATTCTCGTGCGCGAATACGCGACAAGAATCGCTCCGCCATCGGCTCACGGATACGTGACGCCGATACGATTGCATATACCGATCATCGTAGACTTCCGTTCGCGCATACGCGACAGAAGTCACTCCGCCGTCGGCTCACGGATTCGTGACGCCGACATTGAACTAACTACCGTAATCCAGCAGATTCCCCGGCCACCGAAAGGCCGGGGAATCAATCCACAGGAAAGGCGTTTAACGCGACCTTCACACCGCGAACCGGATCTCGCCCTCGCTTTAACGCGAGTGAGATCACACCGTTATCGAGTCGCAGCGTGCGAACTCACGTCCGTAGCGTCGAAGCCTCGCTCCGTTGCAGCGCAACTTCGACACCGTGTCATCCGGATCCGCGACAGGATCACACCGACGTCGACTCGCAAGGACGCGAGTCGGCCGCCGAATTACTAGAGATCGCATTCAGGAAGCGAGATCGGGATCACTTCGCGGTGCATAGGCGCGTCCGCGACCGCATCCGCGATCTCGCACGAACGAGCCGGCCTCGTTCGACAACTAAGGCAACAAAGCCAACTAAGGTTCCGCGCACACAGAAGGATTGCCGCAGCAGCCTCTGACTGCCCTATCTGATATACTCAAGGCATCATTGTGTCCACGGTACCGCCACCGAGGCGATACACCGCATACAGCTCCGCGGAGATACTGATTACACCGTGCTGCATCGCATAGCAGCTGATCAAGATAATTGTTAACCGGAATTAAAGAGGCGAGAAGCCGAGAACGTCAACAGACGGATTCACGACGCGACAACAACACCGTCCGCGTCCCGCGCACCGTGCACAGCATCTCGCGAGCCATCACCTAAACAAAACCTCTGACAGCTTGTATACAATCGACCGAAAACCAACGGCATCGACATCAAATATCTGATTTAATGTATCGCAGCAGCTGATTTTAAATATACGACTAAGTTGATTGTTTATTCTATTGTTTCAACATTATTCCGCCTCCTACGAACCCGAACCGGCAAGCGTAATCCGGAACGCGATGTATCGCGGTTATAAGTGTTAAAATGACTATTTTTTGGCGTTTTTAAATATATGTAACTCTGAAATGGTAAGTTATGTGTTAATTTAGGCAACGGATTCGAATTCTGCATGAAAAAGTCTATAAAAGATGATAGTTTAATAAGGAAAAATGATAGAAATAGTACCATCGGAGATTGTTATTGTTACACAATTTATGGTAAGGATTACTTATATTCCTCAACATTAAACCGTAAAAAAACCAGCGCTTCTGAACTTTTTACATAAATTAGTATAAAAAAGCTTTAGGTTTCTTACTTCGTCTATTGTTCAAATAGTAAAATTCAAAATGGCCGGTGAAAAATAGCTGATCAAAGGATACATGCAAGCTTGAAAACTTAAGTTATTTACACATAAAGGATTTTACTATTTGAGCAATAGACTTGAAGTTAGAGATCGAAAGCTTTTTTATACTAATTTATATAAAAAATTCAAAAGTTTTGATTTTTGACGGTTTAATGTTGAAGAACATAAGTGATCCTTACCATAAACAGTGTAACAATAATGACTTTCCTTGATACTGATTCTATTATTATTAAACTTATTAAACTATCATCTTTTATAGATTTTTTAGGACATCTCCGAGTTTTGACGTGATGGGAAAATTTGGATGACGGATTCGGTTTCAGCACGTCAAAAACCTTTGGAATCACGTACTCTGCTTCTTGAGTCTGAGAAAAATTATTTCTTTGCAGGCTTGAGTTATCAATATACTGCAACCTTTGATTCGTGTCCATGAGATCTGATAACATCGATATTCCGAATACTCATTTCTCATTGGCTAGGATGGAATCTTTGATTTTCTAAATTCAAACTTAGCAATATAATGACTGTGCTCCGAGAGCTGTTGGGAAAGTGTTACTACTCAAAATTTATGTATCACATGGCTTATATGAATCGCTCTGTCTGAAAATTTCAGAAATCAATATTTTAAGGCGCTTTAACTATGGGTTGAAAAAACTAGGTTGAAGTGAATTAAAGTGAACTAGATTTCAGTTCATCCAGTTCATAGTAAAGGACTTTTTTTTTTAGTTTGAGCTAATGTACAGGCTCACAACGGATATCGTATTTACCGTCCTATACTACATCAAGCACGATTATTCACCAATCTTTTTTAACTAATAAATCAAAGTTTTACGTAGCTGTTTGTAAAATGGTATGAAACTTTTCCGTTCAGTTTGTTAAATTCTATTACGGTTGTCTCGAATTTTTAGATACTTTATATACTTGTTTCATTTTAACGGTTAAAAAAGCAAACTAGTTCAACTAAAAAGGAACAGATCTAAAGATTTTACCATATGCCCGTTAAAATCGGTGGATAACCAACCGTGTCTTTCTTTCCTTGTTTGTACTTTTTGTACTTTGTATTCAAAATAAAAGATTTAATTAATGCTAAGTGTTAAAAATATTTAATTATTTAAATCATAAATACGGATAAATTCATTTTATATGACTTTCTCTTACAGGTCTGCCTACGACAATATAACGAAAACAAAAGTAGCTATTAAAAAAATTTCTCCGTTCGAACATCAAACATATAGCCAGAGAACTTTAAGAGAAATTAAAATTCTTACGAGGTTTAAGCACGAGAACGTAAGTCCTACATATAAATATATTCTTTTGTGATTCTTACTTTATTATTAATATTGTACTATTTTATAACAGATAATAGACATAAGGGATATATTAAGAGCACCTACTATAGAGCAAATGAAAGACGTATATATTGTTCAATGTTTGATGGAAACTGATTTGTACAAATTATTGAAGACACAGGTAAAGAAGAAATATATATTTGTATATTCGATAATGAATATACAAATCGTATGGAATACTTGCATATAGCAGTTTAGCCTTTTCGGTATGGTATTGCATTATTCAATGGCCGAGAGAAACAAGTTTTAAATGTACTTATTCGTTTACGATACACTGCCTTTCTTTAATTAAGTCCTTTTTAAATATAGACTAATGTAGAGTTCCTCACATCAGAGTTAGGACATTGTCCACTATTTGTAGAGAGAGTGGGTGAGTAAATGAAAGAGAAAGAAACTACAACGTTCTTCGTCATTTTAGTCTTAAGTTCGTTTTGTTTTCTCAAAGCATCATTCTATCTTTCTGTAGCATGTAATGATAAAAGGATTAAAAAGAATGCAGGTTAGTTCGGTATCATGCTTTGTCCTAACTATGATTAAAGGAACTTAGTTTTAGACTAGTGTAGAATTCTTCAAGTAAGAGTCGGGGTTCGTCTTTGAAAGAAACTTTCTTATACATTTATTTATAACATTATTGATAAAAATAGATCTTAATTTCTAAGAAGTTAATTTTTTCCATATATATTTTTCTCCTATCTTAAAATATAACGATTTTTTTTCTACAGAATGTTGTAAAATCTTTTTATGTAATAATCTTCAGATCCACCATTTTCAATCAAACAAAAAACTAGACAAATCAGTAAGAAATCATAATTATCCAGGCTCTTAGGATGGCGTTTCATTTCACGTATTTTTTGCATAACATGCAATCAATAGGAAACGTTACGTATTTTCTGTTACGTGGAATTCAATTTTCTATGTTCCATAAAGCGTAAAAAGTCGGCGGCGTACAATATATAGCCAATCATATCCTGTTCTATTAAGTTATGTCAATAAAAAGGCTAGACATCGTGGTTCATTGGTTACGTTAATTTTTAATACGTTTCATGAACATTAGGAAGTTGGATTTTGCATAACATAGTACATAGGATGTAATATACTATATAGGGTATTTGACACAAAACATATGTTCACCTAGTTCACCAATCTTCTTCTTTTAATATCTAAATTTAGATTTAGTTTAAATTATACGTGGTTGTTTGAAAAATGTCAGGTATTCTTATGCTCGGATTAAAGCTCCTGGCTAGTCACCGCGGCCATATTAGTTGATGACATCAGAAACGAGAAATCGCACACGAATTTCGCGCCCGAATCATTGCAAAATAAAAAGATATGTTAACAAAGCGACACTTGCAATTGATCCTACACACTCGTAAAATGCTTCGAATAGTGTTCATTTTCCGAAATGATCTTTACAACACTGCTAAATATACGTGTGAAAATCGGCTTATTTTGACAGGAGATCAGCTGTGAGATTCGGTGCGGAATATGATAGAATAAGTACTATTATAGTTAAAATATTACAAAAAGCACAGTATCCGGAGTATTTTGTTCACTTCCGCAATTGTGTTATGTGTGATATGTAAGCACTACAGTCAGTAATAATGCCGTGATTCGGACGGAAAAATTTAGGTAGCTGTTACACACATACACACATATACATACATAATTCGCTTTATACATAATTCGCTTTATACATACGATGAACGAAGTTCTTATTCCTACTGATGGCTGTGTCGCCACCGTCAACGCGGACTTCTCGCCTGACTAGCCAGGAGTCTTAAGGCCTGCTATTTCTGGGGCGGCCATATTGGTATTATAACGTCAGAAGTGAGAAATGGCTGCATTCAGCAAAACTCAGCGTTTTGTAAACAGTTTAATGATACATTGCAACAGTTTAGATGTTCTGCTAAACGGGAATTCATTGGGGGCATGTCAGCGCTATATATATAGGGTGTCTCACACTCTCCTCTGGGCATTTTGTGGGGACGTAGAATGGGTTGATGTGAACATAAAAGTCCTATACCGTTTTGCGATATTCGCAATAATTATCGAGATATTAATTGTAGAAAATTTGTGAATGATCATGCAGGATATGGTAAATGAGTTATAATAGCGACGACTGCCGTCATGTACTTACACTTTACGTCAAATTGTACAAAAAAGTCCTTTACCATTTTGCAAATAATCACATAGATTTTTAATTATTAATTAAAGAAGATGAGTGCATTATCACGCAAAATCGTGCAACAATGATTATTTGGAAAATGGTAGAGGACTTTTTTGTTTACTTTGATCTAAAGTATAAGTGCACGACGGCAGTCGTCGCTACTATAACTCACTTATCATATTCTGCATGATTATTCACAAATTTTCTACAATTAATATCTCGATAATTATTGCGAATATCACAAAACGGTATAGGACTTTTATGTTCACATCAA